GCTCCTAGAGCATCAAGGGAGTCCCAGGGCCCTTCTGTGTTGTACTCCTCCGAAAGGCCTGATTGTTCAATGAGTTCTAGTACGAGTTCTTCAATGTTCCACTGGAAAGGAAGGATAAGCGTGTGTAAATTTGCAATTGAAAAGAACCACACGGAAAAAAGCTGAACGGTGCAGCCATTCGATACTCTGAGCTACAATTTGTGTACCAATCAGTAGATGTGGACGAAGAACGGTGTTTTGCGCTTCAACAGTCATCCATCGAAGTTATATATGAAGCTGGAGACCACCCAAAATAGGCAAATTTTGCAGACATATCAGAAACTAGAATGAATGCGGAATAGAAAGAAGAGCCTAGAGACCTGAGTTCACGTAGTTTTAGAAATATAAGTAGCTACAAACCTCAGAATGCCCGGTGTGCCTTTAAGGTACTAAAGAATGTGAGAATGATGCATGTTAGTGTGCCAAGCGGTAAAAATGGCGTGCTTAGTGAATAGAAGTATAGGCTAGGCTCTGTCGTTATGCATGTGCACATTATCATGGGAAAATTACGGAAACGAAGAGCAGAATTTTTGCAACATAAATAGGGTTGCAGGGAGACGATTTGTGAGGATCGGATGTAAAACAGTTACCTTCGCATCGTAGGAAAATAACTCCGTCGTTGGCAATTCAAGAATCTAAACAGAAAGGAGTGAAAGTGTTATTCGTTAGCAGAAACATGCGATTAGCTTCCCACTAATATAATATATATAATGTATACATAATATAAATAGAAAAATTCTCTCCGCAGCAAAATTCAGTGGACGCATACCCTCGTTAGGTGTCTTAGTGTAGCCTACATGGACAGGGGCAAAATCCGGTCCGTTCGTTTAAGGTCGTTTAAACTGAGTAAAAATTTGACAAAAAGAACAGTAGGAGAAGGGCAATTACCTGTTTTACCTGAGGTCGAGTTCGTAGGAAGATTTCGGTGGTAAGTGGGTTTTGGCTAATGAGAAGCTTCATGCCTAGTGCTA